AAAAAGTTGACAAAAAATAGAATGCCTTGAGTGAACAAATGGGTTTCATCAGGCAGTTAATTTATGAAAACGGTGATACTACGCCTTTTCCATTTATCGAGTAACCTTATCAGTGAATTTCATTTCCAGATTTGCAATCACATTTCTAGCTTCAGAAACCTATCATAGACTTAAACTTCCTTTGGTGCTCATCGCATATATTGTGCAATTACACCAAAATGTTGAATCTGCTCTACCTGTACATTTTATATAGCTATAAATGTTCCAGATGGTGTGGTGTCTCTTCTTGGACATTTTTTGCAAGATTTCCAAAGTAAACCTATTTCTACTATTGTTGATTTTAATTATCGGAGTTTATTCAGCACCGTTCTTCAACTTCTTTCGCCTGACGCCACTTTTCACTTCTCAAGACCTTCTCACTATACTGAATCCCTTTTTTTCTGGGATAATTCATACACATGCGGCTATTATTATAATCTGCCGGCTGCCTATCGTAAATAAACATATGCAGTGCTGATTCTCATGTCTTCTATATGTGTGCGCTACTAACGCACATCGCAAATAATTCATTTATGCAAGACATCATGCCCGACGATACAGTTGTTTTTAATTTTGGGAAAACGGCGAAGATGTAATGATGAGCGCCGCGCTATTGCTTTTGAACGAAGTGAATATTATGCTTTTTGGCAATATTCCATATATTTTCTCAACGATTTTGTCCTAGTTTCTGCAAAAAGGCGTACAAAAGTTTTCTGTTAACGAGAAGTTTAGTAACTCCTATAGGATTTAATTTAGAAAGTAAGAATTCCTAAAATGGCCTATACACAAATAATTGTTTATAAAATAGAGAAACGCAAATTTTGATTTTTCAATTTGCTAGCTTACGATAAAAAGAAAAAGAAAAAATGATCTACATGTAAGAAGCGGACGCGCATATATGAAAAAAAACACGTAGAATGCACCCATAAATGTTTTTTCAACTTTTTCCTACCTTTAAGAAGGATGGATGATTGAAAATGTAATATTGCAGATTTAAGGGTTTTCTTATTTCAAAAGTAATAAATTCTTTTGAATATCTTTTTTTTCCACTATATCCAACACCTCAACCAGTACAGGAAATCTGACAATTTTTCCCCTGCATTTTTGATTTATAAGCCTTTTTAGCTTTAATACGCTCCCCTCTTTGCCCTTCGTTCTCTTGAAAACTTCGAACATCACCTGGCTTCACCCCAATCAATCTTCTAGCAAACATCTCGTGCTCAGCTGTTAACTGCAGTACTCCTCAGGGCTTTGGATCAGTTCTCCGGCCATAGGTGTAGCAAATGATTGATTGAGTATTGAACAGAAACTTAATGACGGTAGAAAGTACGTGATGATGGCAGCTTTCTATACTTTACAGATTTATTGATTTTAGAATTTTCCATTTTTCTTTCATTTTGACAAAACTATTTACAGCTAAATTCAAATATTTGAAGTGAAATGGTTTGAGTTTTTCAAATGAAGAGATGCCATTTCCACAGAAAATGCTTCTTATTCCCTTGCAGATATTAGTAGAAAATGAAGTAAAAGCAAAAACGTGTTCATTTTCAAGCACAAGTTCATGAGAGCTTCTTTAATATTCCAGATTTTCAATTTCGAACATTGTCAATTGCAGACGAATCCCTTTTCACATCTTTTGTGTGAAAGTATAATTTTCTCTCCAAGTATAGAAATTGGAAAACTAAGTGAATATCTTCACTTTGAAATTTTTTTTGATTTCAAAAAAGTA